ATCACAAACAGCGCATGGAATGGCAGAAGAACTGGATGTCGGCCCCCAAGCGGTTGTTGATGGCGTTAAACGTATTGGAAAGGTCAGAAAGCTCAAAAAGTAACTGCTCCACGATTTGAACGATCGACAAAATTTGTCATGTTTCGATGTCTGTTCTTTGCATTTGCGCTACCAAAATGATCCTTCGCGTGTGATGAAAAGTGGATCCTTTACTTCAACAGGAGACGTTTGGAACAGTGGTTGGACATCGGTGAGCCGCCCAGACCCTTCCCAAAGGCAAAAACCCAACAAAAAAGACCATGGTCATTGTATGGTGGTCATTATAACCTTCTGCAACTGGACCAAACCATCACAGCAGAGTCCTACTGTGTGAAATGGTACAGAAAATTGCCTCAGCAGCAGCCGGCACAAGTCCAAGGAAAAACTCTATGAGCAATTCTTCTGATTCGTAGGTAGAGAATTACAATCTAGCCTACACCTACGCAAGATTATGGAGGAGTTTGGTATTTCTCCCACGCAGAAACTCATAGTCTAAGAAACAAAATTGGGGCCATCTTTATTTCTAAACCTGGAAAAATCGAATTATTTTGAAATAGAGAGGCTACAACCTACAAAACTTCGAAGTGGCGATATGCAATGGCATATACTTCTAGACCGAAGTACAGAGCAACAACAAGTCACATCAAAGCCACATCAAGGCACTATAGATAGCCCAAAATATAACCAAAAGAGTATGACAAATAGTTCAAGGTACGAGATTGTTGGAATGGGAGGAAAATACAATAGGACTATGAGTGCAGCATTTGGAACCTCTGGCCCAAAATTGATCCATTGAAAACACGTTTTCTCATACCAGAATAAAAATACTGTTTTTTGACGCGCGTTTTGCTGAGTTTGAATAAATGATTGAATAAATGGACAAGTTAGACGGCTCCGAATTAGCACAGGACGGACTAGGATTGTCCTGGAAATGTTGCGTTGGGTGTCATGAAAAGATGATCGAAAAAACGCAATATGACCGTGTGGCTGCAGTGCTTTCCGGAGACTTGAAAAAATATACAGGTCAGATGACTACCGAGCGGCGAAAAAGACGTTGTTGTTTCAGTTGGACTCTGTAGCCAAGTTTGTCTCTAAAATAAATATCTGTGGAATATTAAAACCATTATGTACTTTTCAGCAAATTGACAAAATTGGGACTCTCTAACCAACTGCTTACTCTAATTGAATCATATCTAGTTAACAGACAACAATTCGCCGAATATGAATCTTTTAAATCGGCTCAGTACGTAGTTACATCTGGGGTACCACAAGGTTCTAATCTTGGGCCTCTTTTATTTTTTATTTTTGTTAATAACTTGACAACCTCTTCGAATATTCCTAGCCTACTATTTGCAGACGACCTGAGACTATATTACAAAATCGAGGACATTACTGACTGCCATGAATTATATGTAATCAAACTTTGGTGTAATAATAATCGTCTACAACTGAACGTATCCAAATGTAAAATAATATCATTTACAACAAAAAAGCAAACTTTAATGTACGATTATTCAATCAACAAAACTACAATCAACCGCGTACATGAGATTCAAGATCTTGGTATAACATACGGCAGTAAATTAACATTTACAACACATATGAGGAATATGACTGCTGATGAAAATAGGATGCTTGGATTCATTTACAGAAATGGCAAAAACTTCAAAAGTATTGCCACTTTAAACTTGCTATATTTTGCGTATGTCAGATCTAAGTTAGAGTACGGCTCTGTGTTTTGGAATCCAGTTTACGACTACCAAATAACATCAATTGAGAGCGTGCAAAGGAAGTTCCTAAAATACTTATGTCTAAAAGTTGATGGTCAATACTCCACGAGAGGCATCGATCATAACATTTTGTTGACACGATTTGATATGACATCCTTGGAAAATAGGAGTGTTATTCTTGGTATAAGATCCCTGCATAAATTACTAAACAACAATATTGACAGTACCGTTCTTTTACCCGAGATCAATTTATTAGTACCAAGAAGTGAATGTCGACACAATCTGAAACTTTATTGGGAAGCATCACGCACAAATGTTATGCTACGATCACCATTGAATTTCATGTGCAGTACCTTCAATAAAATCTGTGAAAACTGCGATATTCATTTCGACTCTCTGAACGCCTTGGTATCATGTATCCACAATCACTTTTAATAATACTATAAATAAAATTTGTGTCACTACTGCTCCATTGCATGATTTGTAACTTTTTGTGTTAATTACTCAATTTTTCATTCCTCTTTTGAAATTCTACTTAGACGAATATTTTACACATACTTTGTTTTAGCATTTACTTTTATACATTTCTACATTCCATTATCTTTAATATTTATTTCATATATACCCCGTAATAATAACATTTTTTGTAACTGGGTACTCCTGTTGGAAATAAATCGTTTTTTTATCGGTTTTAGCGGAAACTGACCGTTTGGCGGAAGTTGGTCGTGTTCCGCTCGATTATAGGTTTCCATATGTTACGTATCTCTATGCTAGCTTGGCTAAATACGTTGTTGGACAACGTATATGCGGCTTCTTTGAATTTTCTCCTAAACCAGTGTTCCTCTTTGTGGATGAATTCAGCTTCAGACCACTTGATGTTATGTTGATGAGTCCAAACATGCTCTGCTATTCCTGATTTGCTGGTTTTTCCTCGCTGTGTATGTTTCTTATGCTCGGCAAGGCCAACTTTCAATGGCCTCTTAGTTTCACCGATGTACGATTCTCCGCACTAGCAGGGTATATGGTAAATGCAGTTCTTGGAATCGCAGTCTGCGTTCGGCGGCCTAGTTTTCCAGACCTCCCTTTGTGTTACAGAGCCCGAAAAGACGGACTACCAGAGTCTTGATGATTCCTCTCTCAATCAATTGATGGTGGTTGGACTCCTGGTTCAGATACTGTCCCGTGTTAGTGATTTTTCGGTATATAGATGTTTCCCATTTAGTGTCGGTCCTCTTAACCACCAAAGTTCGAAAGTTCCTGTTGGAAGACACTATACCTAGGCTATACATTTCTATGAGCTGAGGTCCGTGCACGTTCTCCCTGTATACGCCACAGAATACTGGTGAACCCTTCCATTTTTTTATAGGCGCAAAAAAGCCACTTAGCTTCAGGCTGAACTCTGTAATCGCATAACGCTGCCCCACATCTACTCCATTCGAGCGAGAGTTTCTATGTAGGTAGCGTTATTCAAATTTTTCTCGTGTCTGTCAGAGCGTGCAGTTGCATAGTCGGCTCCGATTCGAAATAGGAAAGACGCCGCCAGTTCGTTCGGTACAAACGTGTTCTGCACGCAATGCAGCAAGAACAGAGCCAGCTTTGCTTATTCCGCCGACCGACGCTGGAGCCAGACAATGTTGCCCGATTGCTTCACGATATCAGCAGGACGGTTTTTTGTTGTTGTTTTCTTTTTGGAGAGCTTGCACACGCCGGGGTAGCTATGCTACTGGAAATGAATAATATTTTGACAAACTGACGAACTGATCCATCTCTTGGTATATTCACTTTGGCCATCCATCCCCACTTGTCAATATTCACAGTAATAATCTCCAAACTGAAGTAATACAGGGTCTTTCATTAAGGGTGCTATCGTGGCTGATAATGATCGATAGATTTCATTGGAGCGTTTACGAGACATAGCGAAGGTCGAGCCGATTACGGATTTGATCCGAAGGCTTGCTTTACAAACACTTCAACAAGTGGTTCCTTCCGAAAAGTCCGCTGACTAGTAGTATAACAGCAATTAGGGTTTATAACAATCAACCCCGCCGTCACGGTGGGTTGATTTATGAAACCCTCGATATTTTCCATGAGCGACATGTAAATGACCGATGACGCCGCCAGTCCAAATTCCACACCAAACAGTAACTTTTTCGGGATGCATTGGGCGCTTTCGGATTTCATGTGAATTGGTGTATTGTCCCAAATTCGACTATTACTTTGAATATAATTTTCAACGAGTTAGTTTACTCCACATTCGAAAATGCTGCATGTCAAATTCTTTTCTTCTATTCTTTGGATACACTTATTGACATTTGTCTGATCACTTCCATCTTAAATTAAATAATTCACAGTCATAATACATTAATATCTGCATTCGAATTGAGCCACTAGATATTGTAAGTGAAGCAAAAAATCTTGGTGTGTTGATGTATGTAGATCTGAGATTTGAAAAATTTGTAAATAAACTCTTACAACGTGCCTATTCTGCACTGAAAATCATTTATGGTAACCGACATATTCTGCCTTATTAGGTGAAAAAGTCCTTATGTGAATCTCTCTGGTCTCTGTCTTAATTTTAAACGAAACTCAAATCAATAAGGTACTGGATATCCCTGTAAGAATACAGTTAGCACGGCTATGAGCCAGTAGTCACGGAAAATCACGGTGCTGCCATCTCACTTAGTCAAGAACACACAAGAGCGACAGTGGCATCCACATAGATGCCAAATGATACAAAAAAACTGGCTACTACCTACAACTAATATAAATTCAAGCAATAGTTGTCAAAGTTTCACTCTTTAGGGAAAACAATTTCATCTGAACTGTTCTACAACAGACTTTCTTGTTGTATCTTTCTAGCTACTAATAAGTAGATAACTGGAGACACGTTAATTTGGATATTATGTGTTTCTAAAGAAAGAAATCAACATATGTGCTTCCTTTGTAGGTAATTAGAACAAAACGGATTCAAATTGGAAAACATGTGAATAGGACATGCATTGCAAAAAATGTCGCTCCACCTTTTTCAGTAAGACTTTGGAGAACGAATTTATATGTTTTTTTTATAGCGACTCGCATATACTGTATTTACTTTATGACCCAATCGTTGTACACTTATTTATGAACGCTGGGAATTGGCTTTGGAGTGTCAATTAAAAGTGAAAGAGAAAAACAAAATTCATGAAATTTCCTCCTTACCGAAGAATTTCTCGCATTCGAGCTGGCAACACTGCCTCGGGCTAGCTATGAAAGTAAACATGGCGTCGCAGTTGGCCAGCAGTTGTCAGTCCGGGTCAAAATAATCCTTAAAACGGTGTCCGCGACCAAAATGGACAACAAAAAGAGTCCGATTCGGAGGGCCAAGCGTGCTGCCAAAGTGTTGGAGGACAATTTCTGGGATTGCAGTGTGTGCACGTTCAGAAACACGGCGGAAGCGTTCAAATGCCTGATGTGTGACGTTCGTAAAGGCACTTCCACCAGGAAACCTCGCATAAACCCCCAGTTAGTGGCCCAGCAGGTAGCTAGCCAGTTCTTACCGGCCACCAGCAACCAAAAAAAGGAGAAAAAGGATAAGAAATCGATGAAAAAGCGGCGGCATCCTCCTCGGCTGAAAAACGTCGATAGAAGCAGTGCCCAGACCAGGGAAGTCACCGTGAACAGTGTCACCGTAGTGATAACAGAGTACAAACCGAAAATCAAGTCGTCCGAGGCGATATCCAGCAGTAGTTCTTCCGACCACGGGTCCCAATCGGAGTCCAGCATGGATGCCAGATGAATATCCCGAAAACCAGTGGCGTGCATCAGTGATGTCAGTGACTGAGAAGGAGGGCAATGACTCTGTGACGTCAGGTATGCGTATGGTGATGACTTTTTGTAATTTATTTCGTTTGTACAAATTTATTCGATGGAGACGTGGAGGTATGTGGGGGATTTGTAGGAATATTGATGCACTATACCGAATGAAATGGATGTGTTAAATTTGATGGTAAATTTTCGTTTTAAGGACACCCGGCGATTTTGATTAAAATTTTGCTCGTACTTACGTATTTTGATGCGTAGATTACGAATCCGAAAGAAAAAAGCGGTGCTCTCCCTTATTTACAAAGTTACGGCCCTTCAAAGTTCTGAAAAGGGCAACTTTTTCAGCCTTCTTTTTCACAAAATAAACTATTTAAAAACACAAGCATTCATTTACTAGGTCACCTTTATACCTTATTCCTCCTTCTTTGACACTTTTCACTTCAATAATCAACATTTTTCCAATAAAAATGTTGAAAAATGTACGGAACTGCTTTTTGGTTACCTACATATCTCTGTATTGTACGTTTTTAAGGTTAATGGCATGGTTGGTACGACTGATGCAGTCCATATGCCTAAAGTAATTCAAATGTTTTTTACCTTCATTCTTTAGATCGTAAATTGGTTTTTGGTGATATATTACGAATTTGAAATAGTAGGCGACGGCAAATACCAACCGCTTTTTTCTGAAGTGTTACTAGTAACTAACCTAAAAATAGAATAATGTCACCAGGAGAAGCATTCGTTTTTAAATTCAGTTTTTTATAAGAAAAATGTTCATTATTGAAGTGAAAAGTGTCAAAGAAGGAGGAATAAGGTGTAAAGGTGAACTAGTGAATAGATGCTTGTGTTTTTAAATAGTTTATTTTGTGAAAAAGAAGGCTGAAAAATTGCGTTTTTCAGAACTTTGAAAGGCCGTGACTTTGTAAATAAGGGAGAGCGCCGCTTTTCTCTTTCGGATTCGTAATCTACGCATCAAAATACGTAAGTACACGCAAAAAATTTTTCAAAATCGCCGGGTGCCCTCAAAACGAAAATTTACCACACATTTAACCTTAATTGGCTGGATAAAACACAGGTACTTGAAATGTAGGTACTTCAAGTTGTAAAAACATGTAATAAAGCATTGAAACTAATGAAACCTAGCTGAACTTATGAATAGACAAAATATTTTGATATATTGATAGATTTTTTCAAGTGATTAGCTAATTTATTCATCAAATACTTATTCCCAACTTATTGAATGATGTGTGTTACTGGGATCCAATTATATTTATTCGAAAATATTGAAATTTTTGTAACATTTTGTGGTTTATAATCGACTTTTCCATTTTGTGGAAGGTTACTCAACTATTAAACGCAAGCCGAAACATTTTTTCCTTAGTTGACAGGTGACTTAAGACGTAGATTTTGCAGAGAACATGAGTATAATAGTAACACAATTTTAGTCACTACATTTATGGGGGATTTATGCAGCATTACTTGAGAACCGAAGCTAATAAACTAGTAACTAAGACTATACTTGATAAAAGTGTCCAGTTTATGCACTTGTTAACATAACCACAATTATTCTTTATTTGATATTTAAATATTACTGGAAGCAATTCCATATTAACAAACCTAAGCTCTCAGTTGAGTTTTGGCCAACTTCCTAGGCATACTTAATTCATAGTCTTAGTCTTTTAAACCGTGTCATTTTTGTGCTCGTTTTTGTAGGACTGTTGATAGAAATAGGCTAAAACAAAATGAAGGAAAGAGAAAACCACAACAAAACAGCAACTGTTTCTATGTCGCAAAACAAACACTTGTTTTTGTGATGCATTGTTTGGAACCTTTGGTGAAGTAATGAATACTACTGTAGTTTGATCCCAACACCAAATCGTTATTTTTAACACCTCGACACGTGTTTCGATCACCAAGTGATCATCTTCAAGAGGAATTTTGAACTTCCTCTTGAAGATGTTAACAATGAAATGTCCCGTCAGCAGACTGAAATATCAAAAGATTTCGGTGTTTTGTCTGTGTTTCGGCGACATTATTACTTTATTTAAAGTGTTACTTAATTTGTGGTTGGTATAAATTTTTATTATCGCCACTAAGCAGGCTGTTTTTATTGATTTGTTGTTAATTTCAAACAAGAATGAGATTTGATTTTCCTTTGTAGAACATGAGCGAAAAAAAGTAACGGACAGTTGAAGAATGCAACAATTTAATTGCTGTTCGTGTAAATAGAAACCGATAGAAAACAGTTGACAACAAAACGCGCGACTCTCTGACAAGTTTTTGTCTGTTTGGTGAATTTCGAGTTTGTTTCAGAAGGTAATGGAAGTTTTTGATTCAATACACTGTTTACTGAAGGTCCTAATGATATTAACAAAATCATCTGAGATTCTGAAGGAACCTGTCGTCACTAAGGAAACAGTTAAATTCTAGTAGTGAAAATGTTTTGGATTCTGTGTATACCAACTCGGTGTTCGAGAATTATTTCAATTGACAAACAGGTAGCCAGGTATAAGAGATGTAGACGCAAATTCCACTAGGGGTTCAATCGTATCCTATACCTGAAAAGAATTTAGTTTTCAATTGTTACCTTCAACATTCTTAATGGCTTTGAAATGAAGTTTATTCGAAGAATTTCCCTTAATTCCTGCAATACACGGAAAGAAATGTTTTGAAGCTGATTCACAGGGTATTAATTGTTGTTGAGTTGGTTGTTGAACAATATATCTTCGAATATTTCGAATATTCACGAACGTCGATGAGTTTAGCATTGATTTTGTTCGAATGAAAAAAGACTGTTGTCCGAAACGAAAAACTTTTTCAAGAGTTTCATAGAAATCATTGAACTTTCAAAAGAAAAGAATACCTGTAATTGTGAATTTTGTTCGCACACGGATGGATTGGTTAAGATGAACCATTTAGAATGCACATGAATTCAGAATAACAACACCCAGATTAACATTTTATTTGTTTTCGTCATAAGGACTTTGACGTAATACAGTAATTTTATTAACCCTCTGCTTAACCTTAGAATACCAAACAACAAAAACCCTGTGAAACACATTAAATGACAATAATCATATTCGAAACCTAATTGAACTATTTGCTAACTCATATACTTTTTTGTAAAATAATTCACATCGAATTTCAATATAATTCTCGTTTGGCATACTTTGGCGATATCCAAGGCAAGTTATTCACTGCTGTCCCTTCTCTCTTACATTTACCTGTTGAATATAAGTATTTTCTGCTGGTCTCCCATTTGTATTGTTCCATGAAAGATAGACATCTTAGTCGTTATCTCTGTGTTAACACTAGTCTCAAGAAAAAAGGACGATGTTTCTATGAAAGCATTTACATAACGGGTCTTTGTCTTAGTTCTTAAATTGTGGCCTTGAAAGTCTGAGACTACTAAGACAATATCAATACCTGATACAAATGTCTACAGATTCTTCTACAAATACTGTTTGTTAGGTTGATTTAAGTCAGTCGATTTTTTATAGCTGTGATTTTTGATGAATGTGATTTTCATGGTAGTAGAGTTTTTTATTATTATGCAAAAAGTAATTTCTGTTGAAATTATGTGCAAATTATACCGTTAAGTTCCGATTGGTAACACTGTATGTCAGATGTCACAAGTCTTGAAATTAATATTATGCTGTATAAATTGATCAGTCTTGAAATTTCTTAAGAAGACGTGGTTGTGATTTTGTGACAAGAACAAAGGGGGTTGATACGAAAAATCACATTTTAAATACCTACGTGTTGGTTATTTTTACTAAAAAAAACACTGATTGCTGGTAGAAAATTAAAGAAAATAATGAAAGGTTTATAAAATTAAGTAATCTCGTCGAATTACAAATATATCAGTGTATTTCTTTATATAATAGTTCAATTAAGTAGCAAACGTATCTCAGTCCACCTAAGTGGACTGAGACACGTTTGTTTCAATGGATTTTATTATTTTTAAGTTCATCCATGAAAAAATTTGAAAGTACGATAATATTTACGATAAAATAAATATGAAATGAATACTTTTTCCAAAATATTTTCTGTAATTCTGTGTCTGCAAATCAGGTTTCTTCACTTTCTATAAAACTCGAACATCGTTTATATCAATTGAAGTGCATCATTTTCAGTTTCCAACATGAAAAGCGATATATTTCGCTCATCACGAAGAAAGTTTTGAATAATCCACTTAATTTGGTATCAATTGAAATAATCCTACATATACCACCCACAAATACCTCACCACTGTATATTAATCGTGAATCAAATTGGGAAAATCAACTAGGAAGTTATTCTTCCGTCGTTGTTAAGTGTAATATAATTTGATATTAAATTAGTTGTGTTGTAGGGGGCGATTTTTATATAAATTTTTCACTTTATTGTAAGTATTCAAAAATTATGCCAGATTGTAATTTGAGATATAGAAAGATAATTTGTAAATATGTCGGAGAATTTATTATCTATTTTGTTCACGAGTAAAGTAGGAACTGTTTTGTCTGAATTATTTTTAAGTAATTTAGTGTGTAGAGACTTTATACACTACTATTGGTTTATACTCCATTCTTGAAGAATTTCTTCAACAATAGCACCATTGAAGAAAGAAACTAACGAATAAATCTATTGTTACTCCGTTGTATTTCTTCAAGACTGGAGTATAGATCTTATGCCACTGTTATCCTTTTACAATTTTAAACGAATTATTGAAAAATTCCTAATAGCCGACTGCCTACGGAACCAAAAGCTGTTCACCGGATTCATTTTGAAGCGTCATTAAAACGTAGATGGTAATTTTTACTATCGATAAGACTGCTAAAAGGGCGTATGTAACGTTTTTTGTAACGCATCAAATGCATTTATAGAGAATTATAATATTTCGTAAATTTTGTATAAATCTTTTCTTGTTATCAAAATGGTTGTCTGTATGTATATTGTGAGTGTAATTTGATATGGTAAATAAACTGGAGTTATTTTATAACGATTGGTTTCATTTCGCATGTGATAACTTGATAAATTCAATTTTAAAAAATCTAACTTTCCGCTCATGTATGAGCTGATCCTCAATCTCGATTGGACGTTTCTAAATGCATTTCGCAATGCAGATGATGCCTGTCTTAACTTTTATGAAAAATTATACAGTGTATTTGATCGCTGCGTCCCAAAATTCTCGATAAAATCTAAAAATAATTATCCA